ACGAGGTTGGGATCCTTTGCCACTGCGGAAAACAAAGAGCGAGGGATATAATGAGTCAAGAGTTTGGTTTGGTTTCATGATTTTGCCATTTGTATGAAATACAATACATTGAAATACAATTTCCGGTTTGGTGGAATCCAGAATGCCTTGCCCCAAGTATTGCGTAGCACTTACTGTAACAGACGGAATGTAATGAAAGAACTGGCCTCCTGCACTCATCCCACGAAAGGTGTTTAATTGTGGGAGTAAATACTGTAACTTTCTCTTAGGTTGGAGGCCATCGTTACTAGGGTGGAGGCCATCGCTACTGTATTAGGTTGGAGGCCATTACTACTAGTAGCAAGAAGCTACTAGGTTGGAGGCCATCGCTGTTAGAATGATAATCTATCAGAGAATGACATATAACTCTTAAGTGGGATGTTTTCGTGAGGAGCTTATCATGGTTTATCCAAACCTTCCGAGGTGCAGAAGCTACACGGGCCAAACCCGCACCCAGTTCAGCAAGCCTTGATGCTGTTGGAAAGTGTTTTTGCACCTGCTGAAGCTCAAGAGGACAGAAATTTGTGTGTTTAGTATTATTGTTTTTAATAGCTTCTTGTTACTAGAAGCTTTGCACTTGTTTCTAATTAATAGCTTCTTGTTACTAGTAGTAAGGCACCTGTTACTACTAGTAAGGCACTTGTTCCTAGTATTTCTTTTGAGAGCCTGCTGCAGATGATGCTGCAGCCTGCCGGGGCTTCTGCCTTTTGCTTGGCAGGAAGCCTGCTGGCGGCATTTGGAGATTTGCACAGAGCTCTTTGGCGCTGAATCTCGCTGTGCCAAGTGGGCGCGTGAGCTGTGTCAAAGCCAGACCGCCCAGAACCGAAGAGAAAACTGTAGAAGATTCTGAACAAGAAGAGTTACTAATAGCTTTTGTTACTAGTAGTAAGGCACTTGTTACTAGCAGCGATGCACTTGTTTCTAATAGCTTCTTGTTTCTAATAGCTTTTGGTTACTAGTAGTAATGCCCTTGGTACTGGTAGCGCTGCACTTGTTACTAGTATTTTCTTGTTACTCGTGTGCAATGGCCATTTCCAGTCATTGATCAATGTCCTCAGTTGCTGAAAGGTCCAGAAATATGCGCCGATGAACTTCGTGTCTTGGTGTCACAAGGCACACCAGGTTTCAAGAGAATTTAATGGACATCTCTAAGGCCTTCATGCACCAGCTTGTCAAGACCTCGAAGAAGGTAGAACAATGCTGGGCGCCTCCAGAAATCTCATCATGAAGGCCACCATGTCCTTGCGCTGTATTGTCGATCCGTCTCTTCTGTTTGTGGTGGGATGGGTTCCCTATCACTGTCGCTCTATCAAAGTGAAGTTTGGCCAGCTGTTGAACACGTTCCTTGATGGCGTTGGATGCTTTGAGACGGATGAGTGTTGATGTTGCACCCACCCTTTGCGAATGCTGTCGCCTGACATAGCGAATGGGTTTAGACAACGTTGCAAATTTCTTTTGGCATTAGAACTTAAACTCGTGGAAGTCCATAGCTGTGGACTGTTTGTGTTCTTGCTTGTCTTCCAAGCACGGTGCAGAGTCTTACCTCTTGTCCGCCACGATGCCTTCATCGCTCACAACCGCCATAACCATACGAGTTGTTCCTGGTGTGGTGAGACTCCTTGAAGCTGTCGCGGTCTTGAACCAAGAAAGAATGGACAGAAAGAAGGGATTGAAGGTAGAACTTGTAGAACATGAAAAAAGAGCAAGCATTCAGACAACATATTGATGTAACGCCTTGGCGCAGGCTTACGCGAGGCATTTCTCGAAGCTGATGCCTTAGATGACAAAATCTTTGCGCTTTGCGGCTTTTTGGCGCCGTGCAGATTTATGACAAGAAGAACTTTTGTACCCTTTGAGTGTGCATGTTTTCCAAAAGTGTTACCTTCCGCAGTTGCCTTCTCTCTACACATGCTTCAACACGTTCAAACATCCCTTGTTATTCTGAACAGTAATTACTAAAGCTCACATGGCAACAATAAACCGAATAAACCTCCCCCTAGAGCCCTAGAGAAGAAAAGTGCGGCCACAAATTTGTTGGTCGTAATAGTCTAATTTGTTTGTTAGTTGTCCTTCCATTAATCTGCTGTGCTCAGCAACTTGTTGCTGGCCTCAAGTTCACTCAGCTGGGCCGAAACTCGCAAACCCAGCATCCATTGCACGTCCGCTTCAGCGCAGTGCAAATCCCCGGCCACACAATCGCATTACATGCCACCGCGTTACACAGCACTGCAAAACACATTGTATGACCACACTGCACTCAATACTGGTGTTGGCAATGTTTCACGTTGAAGAATCCCACAGGCAATGGAGGCTGCAAAGAAGAGGCGCCTGTGGAAGTAATTTGGTGTGTTTCTTCAGCCGACTTTTTTGTTTTTGTTTATATACATTTTTTTTGTGTGTGGCATGGCTTCAGACAGACAACTAGCTTACTTTTTGTGATTCTGTCCAGTTGTTTGCCAGAAGGTGCAGAGTTCATTGCTTGCTCCTGAGAGAAAATGGATGAAAATGGCGCGCCTGCATGCTGCTGTTGAACATTCGTTCGTTTGCCTCAGCAATGCCAGGAGCTACTAGTAGCGTCCTTGCTCCTAGTGGCGATGCCAGGAGCCCCTAGTAGATTCTTGTTACTAGTAGCGATGCCAGGAGCTACTAGTTGCGTCCTTCATGGTTACCCATTTCCTGGTCACACACAAGCCGCGGAGATTTTGAGCGAACTGCGAGAGGCACAGAGTCGATTGGAAGCTGGGACCCTTGCACGGGCCACTACCTCAGTCAGAGGTCAATTGAACCTTTCGTCAAGGGTGACACAATCTGCGGCTGCATCGACACCCCAAATGCCCACGGCCTTTCTGCTAGGAACAAAGGGCATCGCTACTAGGAGCAAAGACATTACTCGGGGCTCCTGGCCTTACTACTAGAACAAGAAGCCACTATTAGTCCTTTCTTCCTTTGCTTTTTTCTTTGTTTGTAAAGATGGTGATAATACCCTAGTAGCGATGGCCTCCAACCTAATAGGACCTAATAGCGACGGATTTGCTGGCTTGTCCAGAGATTCCTTCGATGGCCTCCACCCTTGTAGCCATCATCAACTCTTTCATGTGCTTCAAGCGAGCCTCCATTTGGACGATTTGTGATTTCTCATTGCAGAGACGGGCAACTTCCATCCTCCAAGATCAAGAGAGAACTCCGGGTAGCCTTCCTCATGGTGTCCTCCTTGCTTGCTGGAACCCTGGACAGGTGCACCGAAGTGGAATGTTTGTCTTTTTGGCCTTCACCAGCTCTGACGACGAGTTGGTCTCCAACAAAGTAGGCAGCAGATTTTTGGCCGCTGTGGAAAGAAGAGGCTGCTGTCGGTCTGCAAAGCTGAAGCAGCTCTTGTGAGCCCTTTGGATGCTGCACCTGCCTGTATAAATTGCTCCTGGTCGGCTCCCAGTCCCTGTTTTGTCGTTCGTGGTCCACCAGTTGCAGCTTGTAGATTTGAAACAATGACCATGAGAGACTTGTGTGGAGCCAATTGCCAAGCTGAGTTACTGCATGACCTGTCTTGATTTCAATATCTGGACATGCTTCGGTTCCACAAAGATCCACAAGAATGTTGCGCAAGTGACCAAGTACTGGCCAACGTAGCTTGGTCAAAGAGCATGCCTGAGTCAAGCGACCAAGCAAGTTCTTGGTTGTAATGCGTTAAGCTGTATGTTTGTACATGGTGCAATGCATCAAGAGAGCCAGCTGGCGCTGCACAACACAGGCGATGAATGCAGATCCTGATTGCGAAGGTAGCAATCTCCACAAAGGATGCCATTCATTCGCTTCCACAAAAGAATCGGGAAAGCAATCTGCTGTCCCGGATTGAAGAACGTGTGCACGGTTTCAGTTTCGTAGCGGGCAGAGGACAAGGGACTGTGTGGAGATTTTGTGGCACAGGAGGCCGCGCCGCCACAATTCCAGGCAGGTGAATCCTTGGGAGACAGCGTCGGCCCAACCCCCAAGCGGACACACCCAAACACTGCTTCACAACTCAGATGCACAAGTGACCAGCGGCCGATGGGGCCACATTTCAGAGGTTGGAGGCCATCGCTCTTAGGTTGGAGGTCATTGCATTAGGTTCCGTAAAGTTAGTTTCCTCTATTTTTCCTTTGCAGACCTTTCCCATTTTTCCATGTTTTCCTCCGCTACTAGGGGCTCCTGGCATCGCTACTAGGAGCAAGGACGCTACGAACGGGGCTTCGTTTCCGATCTTTCCCCAGCTGGAGCTGAAACATTCAGGTGCATGGCCTGCGAACGGCTGGAACCCAAGCGAACGACAAGAAACCACACCGGGCCCAAACCGAATCGGTTGCTTCCAACCGAGTATCCAAGCTGTGTGGCCACGACATGTTGGACACTCAAGTCGATGTCTTTTCTAAGGTTCTGCAAATGTGTGGTCTAATATTCGATATGTTTGGTTGCTGGACGTTTTGAGAATGCCCCTTCTCTCCGCAATGGCATCCTGGATATTAGCTGTTTAAGGAGTTCAATGCCCCTCATCGGATTCCACAAGGCTGCGGTTCTGAAGGGGTGTAACAAGCCGAGGTGGCGGAGTTGAATGGAAGCACGGTTCACTTGCATAAATGGGACGTCGTGGCGCAGCGCTGGATCGTCAGCTTGCATGGGGCCGAGACGTTTGTGGAAAACTTCAAGTTTCAAGCAATTTTTGAGTTACTGTACCAATAGTGTCAATAGGGATGGGGTCCCAGTATAGTCGCTATACAGGTACATGCCATATACTTTTGGCTCAAGTGCCCAACCAGGTAAAAAGGAGCTTTAGCGCGCGAGCTTCATGTTGACCTAAGAGCTAGAACGGGGCCAGGGCACACCTTTCCATCCGTTCGCAGGTTATCAGCCGTATCCAGACTACTTTGAGCTGGGTACGAGCTGCGGCCTTACACAACACTATCTAAACGCACACGCATCGGATAGATCAGTTACCCTCAGTCACTGAAGATGGACCAATCCGACGCCAGCACTGCATCTTTTGGAGCAGCTGCTGCAGCCGCAGATCGGATGAGTGCATCCCACAACTCTAGTCCAGGCACGATCGAAGTGGAGACTCTGACAGCGGTGAGAGAAGATGCGACAGGTAGAGCACGAAGTCGTTCCCCGTCAGCGCACTCGACACCACCGTGGGGGACACCGAGATCAGGCCGTAGCCCTAGGGAGACAAGGAGGAGGACTGACACCGGAGCTGTGAGAGTGTTAGCATTGCAGGATGGGTCAGCTGTACCAGTGCCGTCGGACAGCGAAGCTGGAGATCGAGCAAGGACAAGCACTGACAACCTACAACTAGCACGGGCCGATGGAGACCTGAATGCGAAGTGTGCGCAACTACTTGCCGAAGTGCATATGTTGAACCACCAAAACGCATGGATGGTCGAATGCGAGCAGAGACAGAACCAGATTATACAACACGAGACCGAAGTCCACGAAGTAGTGATGGCACACCTCGAAGAATGTTATGTCGAAGGATATGGAAATCAACGAAGAATCACCCAACTTACAGAATCCAGAGACTGTTTGCTCTCAGCAGCACACGACCTGCAATACCAGATGGACACTGATCGTGTGGCAATGCGGGATCGTCTCACCCAGTTAGGGGAGTACGCTGATCGCAACAGCGAAGAGATGGTTAGTCAAGTTGTGAACATCGGCACGGAAGAGATCCAGGCTATATCGGCAGAAAGAGATCGAGCCGTAACCGAGGTCATGACTACAATCGCAGATGCTGAGAACGTCAAGGATCTGTGTAGACAGGAGTTAGTTGGACTACAAAGGCAGAGTGCCAGAAACAAACACGAATATGCTGAAGAGATGAAGATGAGGGAAGCAATGTATGCAAGCAAGATCAAATGGTTATCAGAAGAGAATGAGGAGCTCAACAACCGATCTAATACTCAGGACAAGTTCATCTTGAGCATCAGAGAGCAATTGAAGAAGGCGAACGAGGAGTTGACTCAGACGAGGATTCAAGGATCCGATCGACCGTTTCAACCATCCAGCGCCGAACTCAAGAAGGCCGAAGTCAAGGTGAACATGTTGGAAGAGGACATTCTACGTAAAGAGAGGATGCTGAAACGTCTTCAGGAAGAATTGATCGAATCAAGCGCAAGTGAAGCACAATTGAAGGTCGCACTGAAGTTGAAACCACCAGACATGGGATCAGAACCCAGTGTGGAGAATGAGATGATGACCAAGCTTAGAGCGGAACTCGAACGTACTGAAAAGTTATTAAGGTCCGAGGAGAAAGAGGCAATTGAGTACTATGAAGGTATGATGCAGAACCAACAGGACATGATGGAATTCGAAGCGCATGCATCACGGCTCAGAGATGAGAGGAATAAGTACCGGAAGAGGTACGAAGAGGAGCGCACAAGTGCAGAGAATGCAGCCGCAACCGAACATGGTGCCGCTTCATCCTCTAGCTCAGGCGGCTCCAAGATATCTCGGAAGGAACACGAGAAGATCAACATCCCTGCATGGCCCAAGATACACGACCTGGAGGTTTGGAAATCCCAGGTTGTAGCGGCAGTCGTGACGGCATCGGGCGACGAGAAACAAGAAGACTGGATCCAATGGCTCTCGGATGCCTTCAGATCACCATATGACCCATTTCTACTCGAGACATCAGGCGAAGCAAGGTTCGCTAGCATAGATGCTAAGCTAGGTATCACCCTACATACGATCATCCACGCAGCAGGTGAGAGATCTCATGACGTACAACTGAAGGTGAGGCAGATGATGCAGAGACGTGCGAGAGGCACAACTCCTGGAATGGTCAAGGGACGAGAAATGTTAGCGTTGATCGTCGATAGTTTCCGGAGTGCCGACAACGTTGATGTGATGTATGCATCCAAGCACTTATTCGATCTAAAGTTCCCTGGGGATAATCAACTATCCAGATTCCTTGGACAGTGGGATGAAATCATATCAGGTATGGATGCGGATGACATGCTTCCTGACAAAGCACTTCGCAACCTGCTTTGGGATAAGATTAAGGATTCCAAAGTTATGGCGTTAGACTTGTCTGTGTACGACAACATGTTGGATAAGGATCCGGATAAGACCTACCAGAAGTTACGAGAGATCATGACGAAGTGGATACGGAAATCAATTGAGACCACAAACAAGAAATAAAGGGAAAAAGCTTTTGGGAACATCGTGAAAGCCACACCAGCGGCGGAGAAGAAGGACCCTAAAGCGAAACCCAAGAATACCAAGACCGATCCACCGAAACATGACGCCGCTCCAGTACTTCCTCAGGCTAATCCGAAGGACCACAACAAGAAGGACAAGAAGCAGGACCGTGGAAGATCAGCCACGAAGAGCCCAAAAGGGGATCGTGGCAGGTCAGCGACTCCAGCAGATACGTCCAAGATAGGATGCGCTTTCCACTTCCATGGGAAAAACGGATGTTCTAGAGGAGACAAATGCAAGTTTAGTCACCAAGAGAAGCACAAGAGTTCTGCTAAGAAACCAGAAAACCTCAAGGGTGACAGATCAAAGAGTCCCGGTGGCAGGAGCAGTAGCCCTAAGCCAATGAAGGATCAGGTATGTTGGAATTGGCAGAAAGGATCGTGCAAGTTCGGGGACAAATGTCGACGTCAGCATCAAGCTGCTCCTGCTACAAAACAAGAGGCTAGAGGCAAAGCCAAGCCCAAACCGGCTGCGCCAGCCTTCATGCTATGCGGAGACATCGAGAGTGATGACGAGGACGTACAACCCGCACTTCCCAACGTACAACAAGGTAAGCTGGCGCTTCGCTTCAAAGTCAGATTCGATGACCAGGCGAATGTGACCACGTTCACCTGCGATCCTGGTAATGAGCTAAACAACCGTCCCCTCAGGAAGAAGAGGAATGAGGTGCAGAAGGTGGATACCGAGCTCATTTCATCGTTGAGAGCCCTCAGAGTGAGCAACATAGCTGCACGAGTAGCACATGCCAAAGGTAAGATGATGGAGCTATTCTATGCTGAACACATTGCCAAGGCATGGATACAAATCACTCAAGATGAAGGAATCGAGGTTAACGTCGACCTGTCTGATTTCAACACCAGAGAGGTAGTAAGGAAGGATTCTGTCGACTACACGATACCAGGAACCACGATGTTCATGGCTGTGGAGAGGTATGATGGACCACCAATACGCTTCATCATGGACACGGGATGTGGACACGATTTGATCTCAAGAGAGAAAGTCAATGCCATGGGCCTTACCACCAAGGAAGGACCCAAATCCGTGAGCTTCATGACAGCGAATGGTGTAACTAGTACATCAGAGATGGTGGACATCAATGTGGACGAACTACCCATGAGGTCCGAGGCACACGTGTTGGAAAGCACACCATCAGTCTTTTCCATCGGGAAACGGTGCATGGAACAAGGGTACTCATTCATATGGCCGGCAAATCAATTGCCATACCTCATCGACCAGAACACGAACAAGATTCCGCTATCGGTGCATGACAACATACCCTACATCAAGGTGAATGATGATGACGGGAGATGTTTACCAAGACCAGACGGCTTGGCTACGATACTTCATCGCATACTGTCGGGTGTGGGGCATGAAGACGAGGTCACAACAGGTCAGGAGACACAACAAGAGGAACTTCCGCCCAAGAAACCACGGAGACGGAGGAGAAAGAAGAAAGATAACCAGAAAGGTCAGGATGGTGAATCTGATATCAATCCAGCTGTTGCAGGCATCGAAGGAGAACCAGAGGAACACGGTGATGACAGGTATTCTCCTGAAGAGGAATATGACGGGGAAGACCCGAGACTCGATCGTGATCACGAAGGTCAACCTGAAGAAGCCGGGGGCGACGAACATGGAGGTGATGCGGATTCTGAACGAGGGGAGAGTGACATTGATGAAGATGAAGAGGGACTATTGGAAGTCGATGTGGTTGACGGGGAAACCAGACTATCAAAACCAGGAGTGCTGAAGAACGAGGCGAAATCCATATTGCACTTGATGACGCACCGATACAAGAACCCATACTGCAAGTCATGTGTGAGAGCAAAGATGAAGCACTACAAGACTAGCAAGGGAGCTTTCAAACGGAAATTGAAGGCATTCGGTGACCTTATCACTTTCGATCTCATGAACACTCAGAAGATGGCGAGAGACGGGATCATGCCGGATAAGGACATATTGGTGATTCGAGATCGGTTCACTGGTGTGATATGGGGTTATCCATTGAAAGCAAGCAATAGTGACGAAGTGGTGCAGGCAACGAAGCACTATATCGGTAAGAGAAAGGTCACCAACGCTTACTCGGATGATGCGCCACAATTCGAATCAGCACTCAAGGAACTCCGGATTCCACTAGACCAGTCGCTTCCAGGACATCCCCAGAACAATTCACTCGCCGAAAGGAACAATCAGTTCCTGATGCTTACCACATCGACATGCCTTCTAGAAGCCGGACTACCACCATGTTTTTGGCCATTTGCTGTGGAATGCGTAAGCCATTTATTGAACATCGAGAAGCTGAGCGATGGCAGCAGTGCATGGTTGAAATTGCACAAGAGCGAATTCCCAGGCATGGTGATACCACTTGGAGCGAAGGTGTTCTTCAAACCTAGTGATGCGAGAGAAAGAGACCAAG